TGATGAGTTTAATTTAAAGAAATACATTAACCATATTAACCATTTCATTTGTCAATATAATGAAGATTCATTATATTCAAATAATGAATTTGACGATAAAAGAAGATTCATTAAACTGGCTAAGTTGATCAGTAAAATATTAGAAGTTCATTTGGAAGTTATTAAAAAAATACATATTCCTAATCTATTTAACCATTTTAACCATATTAAAAATACAATATTAAACTGACTTTAGTAATGAGTTTAAGTGAACAATTTTTTAAATATTGGTATATCTTATGTGTCTGATAACAAATGTAGTTCAACACATTCAGTTGGCTATCGTGGATTCTTACAAATAAACATTCAAAATACATTAAAATATAACAACTTGAGAATAAATTTGATTAAAGAAGTAATTCTTAATAATGAGTATTTTAGTTAACTATTACATTGGTATACAGGTTAAGGGTTGCTGGTTCTACGCCCAAATTTGTATTGTAGAAAGATCTTCCTAATCTAACATTAAATAATGAGTATTTTAGTTAACTATTACTTTGGTATACAGGTTAAGGGTTGCTGGTTCTACGCCCAAATTTGTTCAATTCTATCATTAAAGAATTGGGCTTACCTGGGATGTAGTAGTAAAACATGCTTTAAAAAGCTTAAGTATGAGGGAGCATCTCTTTATTGTCACAGTTGTCGAGATGTCAAACAGACAGGTATTTGGCGGTACATGTTAAAACTAATGGTGAAGCATAGTAAGCATTTTGTTGAGGTAGTTATGTGGGATGATGTTTCAAGTAAGCTAATTGGCAAACCAGCAGATGATCTAAGTGACAGCCTTAGCTTGGTAAAGTGTTCAATTTATATTCTGTGTTATGTTTATCTAAGATTTTTAATAATTTGGAATTAGTAGTGTATTTTAAGTATAAAATTTACTGCTCTTCTTTTATGCAGGAGACTTTATCGCCTTCTGATGTTCATAATGATGTCTTGGATTTGATTGGCCGGGAATTCATATTCAAAGTTGGGAATCGGAAATTCAATACCCTTACAAATCAGAATGAGTATACAATAGCTGCGTTTTCTGAAAACGCAGAAAAAATTAAAGAGCTGAAGGAGTCTGTTCAAGAGGAAGTATTTGAGGTATTAATTGTCTCCACAAAATTAATTAAAAATTTATGAAAACGGAATAAAGTTGATTGTTGTCGGCATAGTAAATTTTTCCCTTTTAAATAACCATATTTGAAAATAGCCCATTTGAAATTAGTTTCTACAAACTTGCAAACACTTGAACTTTAACATACACTTGTGTAAATACTTTATTAAGATGATGTTATACTACTTTTGTGCTTAACTGTTAAACTAAAAAAGTAATCTCACACAAAAAGAGGAACTTGGCTTTTAAACCTGCTCACAACTTTGTTGTATTGTGGTATTTATGTAATAAAAAAAACTAAAACTCTAACGCTTGGTTACAATCCTTTGGTTCGTATTAGCAGGGATGGATTTAAGGGGGGGGGGGGGGGGGGTGCGACCGCCCCCCTTGGACTTTCAAAATTTTCTACTATATATGTAATGTTTTTGTAAAATTTTGATACTTTAATTAGATTCGCCCCCCTTAACTTCTTTTAAACATTGTCCCCCTTAACTTTTAGTTTTTAAAATTAATATATAGTCTTACATAATGTAATACTTAATTGAAGATTTAAAAGAAGGAACATCTAAAATCATTTACATAACTTAAATAAACAATAGAACAACTCATTATTTTAGATTTAGGATACTTATTATAAAAAAATATTAGTTTTGTTAATTATCTTTATTAGAAAACTAGTAAACAATTTTGAAAAATATATATCAAACGATATTAAATACCAGACACTCTAGCTACAAAGTTTTTAGATCATGTGAAGTGAATCCAAATTATAAATGTTTATTGACATTAAATTACACAATTCATTTACTTCTTACGTTCTACAAAGGCTTTATTCCATAGATAATAAACTTTAATTATTTTAGCATTAATACAAATATAATATATGCAATATATATATATGAATGAGCAATATGATATTATTCTAAAAATAATAATATCATACACCCTCCATGGTAGCCAAAAATTGTAATTCAAAAATCAATTCTTTATTTCTAGAAGACCCATGTAGTTAAACAATGTTGAAGTTATTTTAAAAGTATTGGTGAATGTGTACCTTATAAACTTTTTATATTTAAATAAAATGTTATATATCCTTTTTTATTTTTATATCATTTTCCATTGATTTGCTAAAATTAGAATGTAATATATAGATTTAAATATCGTCATGCATGTATTAATGAATTTTTTTGAATTAAAATAGCCGCAGAGCCTTACACTAGTGAAAAAATTTGCCCTGCTACACTAGCAAAAAAAATCGCCCCGCTACTCTAGTGAATTTTTATATCTCCTACACTAATGAAAATTTTCGCCCCCCTCGACTCAAAATCCTGGATCCGTCTCTGCGTATTAGGTATATAACTCATATTCCGATCTTGATTTGATGTGTGGTGAAGACACCAATGTCGAATCAAATATGGTAAAATATTTACAACTTTGTTATAAATAGAAAATTATATGCAAATTAGTGAAAAGGAACTGATCCAGGTGTGCAATTTTTCAGACACCGCACTCACAAGATGTTGAATCTCATTGTACCCCCGAGTCGGTTTTGTCCAAGAGACGTGTTAATGATGAAAATGCATCTGATGGAACGGAACAAAGCTCAGCCACCAAGAAATTGAAGGGGGTTAAGATTGAGATTTGACTTGACATGCAATAATTTATTTTCTAATGAATTTTGAATTTTGCTACTTGGGAATTGACGTGTGTGATTTAATTTTTACTTTGGTTTGAATAAGCAAGACAATTTATCACTACATTATAAATTTCATATATACTGAAGTTATGAGATTTTTTCCATTTTTTGCATCTACGATGTTTTACCTTAAAAAATCAACAAATGAAACATCTTTTATCGTTTCGATGTCTCAATATGTTTTATGTGGATTGTGGTTAAAATTCTGTTGAGTGTTTGTTGGTATTGATCTTTCTAATTGGTGGGCATAACGGACAGCATATGTAAGTGTGTAACAAGATGCAATGTGTGATGCTAACTTTGTAAATTTTGGTTGTAGAATTTCTAATTTGAAATTTAAATAAGGTATTAGGAAAGGAACTTGCAGCTCAAAAATGTTTTGGGAATAGGCTGGGTATAAAAAACTGAGATATCTACAAGTATTTTTAATGAAATATCATATGATCAAATAAATTTGGTTTGCTCTGGTAGATCACAAATTCGATCCAATCACTCCATGCGTGTTAGTATAGATGAGAATAAAAAAGAAGAGATGTAATGATGGTTTGTAATATAGATGTGTATTTAGCATTTTTGTTTCGTCAATTCTGACATATTTTATGCCTGTTAGCATTTTTTATTCACCCCATGCATGTTAGCATTTTTATTCATCCTATTGCAAGCTTATTACATAGTTACTACTGCGTATATAAAGAGTAAAAATCTCATCAATCTAGAATTATAGAAGTCCTGTTTGGGCAAGTCCATTTGAGTGGTTTCTTGGTGGAATTTTTTGATTAATTTTGACAACACGCTCATCATGAATTATATATATGTGTACTTAGTTTAGTATATATAAATCTACTACGAATAAGTTAAACATTACATAACAATATAAGGTTGGAATTATAACATTAACAAAACACAACAATTCTAGGTATTACGTTGAAGATCAAAATGAAAATAAATTTCATAGTCATTCTAAATAGCTTGAAGTTCACCACCCAATATTAATCTTTTATTTTCGTTTGCACAATTGTAAATTTTATTTATTACAAATATTTTGACCGGTGACAAAGATTAGCAAGATCGACCCTCTATGTTTGAGGGCCTAGGAGCGGAGAAATTAAATAGGCTTGCTTTTAGAAAAATTGAACAACTTTTTTGGTCTAAACTAACATGTATAGTAATAATAACCGTTCAAAAAAAAACTCAAAACATTTAAATAAACTATTAAACTTTCTTCTATCTAAATAAATAATACCAGTGTTGTACAAATAGGATGTTTTTACTTGGACTATAATTCGTCCCAGACCAGACCAGACCAGATCATACCAGACCAGACCAGTTCAGACTAGACCATACCAGACTTGGATAGTTATAAAAATACAAAGAAATCAGACCAGATCAGACCAATTCAGACCAAACCAGACCAGACCAACAAATTATAATCCAAGTAAAAACATCCTTGATGATCTTTATTTAGGAAGAAAACATGATAGTCCTATAGTGCAACTTATTAATGTTTTACTGTTATTTAAGGAATTAAGTCTATTATTGTTCACTACTAAATTCTCACCTCCAATGATGTGATAATTCTTAATTGTTTCATAGCTAAATCATTCTTATTCTTTGAATTATCATCATGAGGATATTTAGAATTTTAATTCCTTACATATATAACCAAACTTTTCCATTGAATCGTTTTTACTTAGCTCCACATTATCTAATTTTTTCTTCTCTTTTTATCCTATCTAGATTTAATCATTTTTAATACATCTTGAAATTAATTAAATTTATCAAAATAACAATACATTTTACCCTTAAAATTAAAGAAAGTACTCCCCACGTTCCGCTAACAATGGGATAAGAGGGAGTGACACACAAATCAATAAAAAGTGGTTTATGTGATTGATATTGAATTGATAAAGTAAGAATTAAGTATGAATGATTTAAAATGGGACAATCATAGCACGACGGAGGTAGTATAATTTTATCAAGGTTTTGACTTTCATCAAAAAAGGTTTTGACTTTTATAAAAAATTCACATCGAAAATTTTAATATACTCCTCCAAATGTACTTTCAGTTTCACGTCAATTAGAAGTCTCTACCAACAAACAATGAGCAGCTGCCACAAAGATGCAATTATAACTCCGTCACCAACTAACAAAAAGCAGAAGCAACAAAGATACAGTTTCACTCCAATTAGAAGTCCCTGCAGTCACACAAAAGCTTCGCCGTCCATTCCCTCCAGTTAGTTACATCAATTCGATCAAGTGCTCTCCTTCTTGATAGCGGTACGGTGGTTCTACCGTGATCTCGGCTATATACTTTTTGGCAGAGCCGTCTCGCCGTCCATTCCTCTTCTACACCGCTCGCCGCCATTCCGGATTCCTCAAGCACAGGTGAATTACGGTATACGATTTGATTATGAATATTTTCCAGTTACAAAGCTTTGTAATAAGGACTGAGAGAGCATTTGTGTTCTGTTATATATAATATGTTAAAACAGAAGCTACAGTCAGGTGTAGCATAGCGGTTAACAGGTCTAATGCAAAGCTGTTGAAACAGAATGCCACAAAGCTCGATCACATACGATAGTTTGTATGTTTTGAAGAACTCTTGAAGCATTTTAATGTTCTATTTGAAAGACTCTTAAGTTCAACTATTTCTAAACACTTCTATGATGGCAGCAACCATAAAAATCTTCTAATATATATATATATATATATATATATATATATATATATATATATATATATATATATATATATATATATATATATATATGCAGGCAGTATGTATGGCACGATGAGTAATACAGACATCAAAAAGCAGCAAACATAAGTATGATTGCAATCTTACCGACTACAAATACTCAACGTTTCTATAGTATGCCGGAGAACAAATATTACTTCCAAATCTCAATTTCAGGTTTAGAAAACTTAACCTTTTTAATACTCCGTATATAAATTTGGAACCCTTCCTCAATATGATTTTTACCTTAGTTTGCTCCGTCGTTGTTATAAATTTGATTATAAGTCTCATGTTTCTTTCAATGTGTTCATATATATTGATATGAATAATACTTCTAATGACCTAAACTTCTTAATAGATAATTACTGCATGTTCAGTTTTTCATTTGAATAGTTATTAGCAAATTTAATATTTTCAATAGTCATCAATACCGGCACCCTTATATATATAAATATTAAAATCATTACTTTTTATTTGAAGCATTACAAATGTACCATACATTGACTCCTCTTCTTTTACAACGAAGACGTGGGATAGTATTTTAATGCCCAAGTTTTATACAAAGTATAATTAATACTACAAAGGTTTTATATATGTACTCCCTCCGGCCCGGTCATTTCTTCCGGTTTTGACCGGTATCGCAAATTTAGGTAGTGAGAATAAAGTGAAAATGTATGGTTGTAGTTGTGTAAGAAAAAAGTGAATAAATGTGAACCACATATTTTTTCCAAAAGTGGAAGTTGGAAGAATTAACTTGGGGCGGTCCAAAAAGGAAAGTTGGAAGAAATGACCGGGACGGAGGGAGTATTATTTGTATGATGTTATTTGGAAAAAGTGAAAAATAATACGGCCAACTATCATTGTTTCTCTTTTAATATTAAAAAATACCAATTATTGCTATATAGTAACAACTATCCGTAAATAAAAATCAATGATTTCATATAACATGCTATATAGAAGTATAGGTTTGCACACTGATGAAAAACTATGTAATCTTTAATAACTCAGAACGCAAATTATTATGTTTTAATTTGGTGGCAGTGAAAAGTTAATTAGGCAAATTCTATGCTTCATAAAATAAAAAGTGGGGGTTTTGGCTTGCGATGTCTTCAAAATAAAAAGTTCAATTTTTCCGGATAGTGGTATATAAAGGAATCTATGAGCTCAAATCCAACAAATAATCAGAATTAAAAAATATGGGACTTTAATTACCCATAAATTATGATACATATATCTTCAGTATGTGTGTGAACCACATCGTGCACAGTAACAAATAAAAATATATTTGTGCATAACAAATGCTAACTTTGGCTAACAAATTTTTTTTGTAGGGTTCTAATTGGAAAACACATTCGATGAGGAAATTGACAAAATCCACCATTATAATAGGCAAAAGATCATTTCCCTTAGGTGAAATTGTGCGGAATGCCGACTCCAATAATGAAGATTCTAATCTTGGCATTGCTGACAGGATTCACACTGGTCCTAAAAGACCAAGAGCAGTGGGAACCGAAAATGAACCAAATGCCATTTTCCCTCTTGACTTGAATAAAAGTTCTTCTTTGTGTTCGAATAGAGCACCATTGCAAAACATAACGAACGGTAATAATACTATGAAACGTTATAAAATTTGGTTTTTCCAGTTTAACAATTTATTATTATGTTTTTTATTATTTCTTATTATTTTTTTGTTTAGTCCCGTCGAGAACACTTACTATTGGTAAAAGTTTTGGAGGGACAACTTCTCTATCTTACACTCCTTATCCTGCTGAAACATCACGAAAAAGAGATATGTCTGAGGCCCGTACTACATTCACTTCTGAACAAATTGAATTATTGGACGTTGGCGATGTCAATGGAACATATTATGAAGTAGATAAAAATACTGAAGGTATCAACGATGTTAACACTCATAAATGAATGCAACATTTCAATCCATGAATATAAAGTAATAAATTTTTAAATATATATTATTCAAATAATTCGTGTATCATGTGATTTAATTTTTTTATTTATATATATTATTATGTGCATAACTAGAGTGTTAAAATGCACATGTCACTACTTATTTTCAGGAGATAGGTGCACAGAGATACCTGATACATTTTCAGATGATGATGGGATCACATTTGATGGTAAATAAAATTGGTTATGAGTTATTCATCGAGTAGTATTTTTTAACCATCGTTCCTTTTACATCAGCAAAATGAAATGAAATTTATTAATTTATAAACATAATTATTTCTTTTATTTGCAGTGGAAGACGCATCATATGCATTTAATTCGTATGAAGGTATTTAGTAATTTTTTATTGAGAACATTTTAAAGATTTTTTATATGATCATTATTATTAAATAGATTAATGAAATGAATTTAAGTATTTGTGGAATATGTTTGAGATTATTTCTATTTTTCGTATGCAGATTATTTAGATCTGGGTGACAGTACTTACACATGTGAGCATTGTGGATCTCTATTTTGGCATGCTGAAAGAGTTAAAAGACATGGAAAGCAAAAACCAAAGTTCTCAATGTGTTGCAATCAAGGAGATGTTGTACTCCCCAAGATGCAAACACCCCCACAGTTGTTAGGGGCTTTGATATTTGGCACAGATGAGCGTAGTGGACATTTCCTTAAAAATATACGTTCATATAATTCTATGTTTTCGTTTACTTCAATGTGCGGAAAAACTGATGGAAGCATAAATAGTGGCACTTCACCTCCCGTGTTCCGATTGAATGGTCAGAATTATCACACAATTGGAAGCCTTTTGCCAAAGGATGGACAACGACCTAAGTTTCTACAGATGTACTTATCTGATCCAGCTGAAGAGATTGCACACAGAATAAACGCTGTGAGGTAATTTTTACAAAGCAAAATTATTAAATGAACATTAAATCTTCACAATGAGAATTAAATTCGCTTTTAAAAACTTTAAATGATCAGGAAAATGAATTTAAAAAACATTAATTTTAATGCTTCAAAATAGTGCATACGGTTGAGAGTAATAATGTTTTGTACAAATGAAAAAAAAAATCATTAGTACAATTGTTTCAGCAACTATTTTCAAATGATAGTTAATTTGTGAGCAAATGTTCTAAACTCTATGTGAACAAATTCAGTAGTTTTAATCTATCTTTAATTGTAATATAATACAATTATTATGTTTTCTTATTTTAAATATCCCTTGAATAGTATCACTCCGTCTGTACCACTAATTAAATAAATATGATGCAGGAATGAGGATGATACCTCCTTGCAATCTTCATTGGTGCAAGACTTGAAAGAAATGCTTGACACATACAATGTGCATGCAAAATCATTCAGAATGGCGAGAGATCGATTTAATGAGTCTAATTCCACCACATTGAAAATGAAACTCATCGGCAAAAGGCACTCAGAAGGCCGCACTTACAACATGCTAAGTGTCAATGAAGTTGCAGCGCTAATTGAAGGTGATTTTGATGTAAACAAAAAAGAAAGAGATGTGCTTCTTCAAACAAAGACAGGGGCTCTACAAATTATTTCTGAATTGAACCCGTCTTTCTTGGGTTTGCAATACCCACTTTTATTTCCATATGGCCAAGATGGGTTTAGAGAAGATGTGTCGTTGACGCGTGCAATAAATAGCGAGAGCGAGAGTGGGAGGAGGCGTGTCACCATAAAAGATTTCTTTTCATACAGATTGCAGGAGAGGACTGATGAATCACCTTATCTATTGAGATCAAAGAGATTGTTTCAACAATTCATTGTTGATGGGTATACAATGGTTGAATCATCACGATTGCAGTACATCCGTCTCCACCAGAAACAGTTAAGAAGTGACTTATATAGTGGCTTAGCAGACGCTGCTGGAAGAGGAGAAACGGATGCATCTAGAGTCGGCCAATTAATTGTTTTGCCAAATTCCTTCACAGGTAGTGCACGCTTTTTTTTGAAATAATTCATAATGACAAACAGTCCTACAGAAGCCAACATAAAATTATCATTCACTTCTTTTGTAATTTGTGCAATCCATCAAATTGAAATCCGAAAAAGAACATGTTGTAACAAACCTTCTTTTTTGTGGCACAGGTAGTGCACGCTATATGTTGCAAAATTACCAAGATGCAATGGCTATATGTAAATGGGCGGGGTACCCACAACTATTCATCACATTTACATGTAATCCGAAATGGCCGGAGATTATTCGCTATGTTGATGACAAGGGATTGGATCCAAATGACCGACCGGATATCCTTTCCAGGGTTTTTAAGCTAAAACTCGAACTTCTCATCAAGGATCTGAAGGAAAATAAGTTATTTGGTGATGTCAAAGCAGGTAATATTTAAATTCATGACTGTGTATAAATAAGAACTATGTGCTAAAGTATTAGTTCAATTTCTGGTATCTTCATGAAATATAAAGTAATTAAAAAATGTTTAAAATGACAAACCTTCTTAATGATTGTAGACCAATGTGAAAAAAATTAGCTATATATTTTGGGATACATGCCATCTTTAATTAATACGCAATATATTTAAGGGGATACTTAGGTCAGTCCGGACTGACAAGAGCTGTCATCAGGTCAAGCCTGTCTGAGGGTCTTTGCAGTCGATTTTTTTGATGAAAGTTTGTGAGCATTTTCTTCATGAAGTTTAGATTTTTCACACATACTTTCAGCTTAAAATTCAATTGGAAAGTCAATTAAATAATTCTATGAAAAATACTGCATTTTTTATGCATATTTTGGTGCATTGCATTTCAATAATAAAATTTTTAACTGACTTTCCAATAGAATTTGGATATGAAATTTTGTTGAGATAATTATTGAAACTTCATTATCAATATATTCACACAAACCTTCAGCTTTAGATTCAATCATTAAGTAAGTTAACTAAATTTTTGCATAACACTGTGTTTTTTATGAATATATTTGCGCAGTGTGTTTCAATGATTTATTTAGTTGGCTTCTCAGTATAATTTTAAGCTAAAATGTTTTGGAGATAATCTAAACTTCATGATGAACGTTCGCACAAAATTTGAGCTTAAGATTCAATCTGAAAGTAAGTTAAAATATTTGTTTGAATGACAATGTGTTTTTTATGCATATTTTTGGGCAGTGCGTTTTAATGATTTATTTTATTAGATTCTCAATTGAATTTTAAGTTTAAACTTTTTGGAGACAATAAAAAATTCGTGAAGAATAATCTCATCACCAAATATCTTCAAAAACGTCCACCGGGAAGGTCCTCAGATTGCGTCATCCGAATGGCTGTTATGGTCAGTCTGGACAGACAGGAAAATTAGTCATACATGTAGACAATGGTTCTGGTGCGGACTGCCGGATGAAATGAATTCTCTATGTATGTATGTGTTTAGGCGATTTAGATACGGAGTACTATGTATTTGTGTTTTTGTATATTTTTTTAAAACAGATTTAGAAATTGGCCACTAAACATATAAATATAGACGACTATGGTTTTACAAAAGTAATGAAATTCATATTATGTTCAGTTTAATTTTGAAATATAAAAAACATTTTCTTAAAGATGAATTATGATGTGAAATACATAAAAAATGTTATGCGATAGAGAACCTATATGTGTATATCCTTAAGCACACATGTCACTTTTTTTTGAAAGAACATGTGTCATTTATATATGCAAAAAATATAACAATCACTTGACAATTTTAATTTAATTATCTTATTAATCAAAAACATTTATTTTAATTTTTTTGTGCAGTTGTTTACACTGTGGAGTTTCAGAAACGTGGATTGTTGGTGATTTTAGTATCACCAGGTTCATTTTAGTGTAATGGAATTTACAGATTACCAATGGAGTTCAAGTTTAATTTTAGACAAGTTAGGAGGTGCGGAGCGCACACTTCTACGAAATTAAATTTAAACTTGGTTCGATTAAATGGCGGGGGTCAAGGGGGCTGCGCCCCCTTGCGGGGTCCAAGGGGCAGCGCCCCTGGCGGGGTCCAAGGGGCAGCGCCCCGGACCAAAATTTTATTTATTAAAGAAATAAATATGGAAATTTATTTTCGGATAAACATGTCCATATTAATTATTTAATAGAATGACTTTCTGTTAGAGTAAAACTCTAACCGATTGGCCTTATCTATTTGGTAATCAGAAGAATTCGAGTTCTATTAAAACTGCTAGTTCGTGGTCTATATATTGGTGCCTCAGTTTTAGACTGTCTCTGAGAGTGATTATCCCCATAATCTAAATTTCGTGTAACCCAGGCATAGGGTCGAAATATTAGATTCGGAAAGTGATCACACGATACTCTGAGAAATCCGCCAGATTTTCTAAAACAGTTTCCCAACTCCCCAGCTCTAACATGGATTACCACATGCGCACATTGTATTGTGGCTTTCGATGACAGAGCGCAATGCAAACCCATCGGTGATGATCGATAGAATTATTTCAGCAGAGATCCCAGATGAATATGCTGACCCTGTGTATTACAATGCAGTTAAAGAATTGATGATCCACGGTCCATGTGGCCCTATGAATGCATCTGCACCATGCACAGAAAAAGGCCGGTGCACAAAGCACTTTCCAAAGAGATTTGTCGTTCGCACGACAATGGATAAGCAAGGTTATCCGATTTACAGACGCAGAGACAACGGCAGGTATGTTACTAAGAATACCCACGATCTCGATAATAGATATGTCATCCCACACAACCGTGGCTTATTGTTGAAGTATAGTGCTCACATTAATGTCGAGTGGTGTAACCAAACACGGGCAGTTAAGTACTTATTTAAGTACATCAATAAGGGTGACGATCGGATAACCGTTGAGTTCTCAGAAGCCATAGATAACTCTACTCCAAAAATAATAGATGAAATTAAGATGTACTATGATTGTCGGTATATATCCGCATGTGAGGCTGCTTGGAGAATTTTCGGATTCCATATTCATTATCGAGATGTACCAGTTGAGCGCCTCACTTTTCATCTTCCTGATGCACAGAACGTATACTACAATCCCAATGCATCTATAAGCTCAGTACTGAATAAACCAACAATCAACTCCACAAAATTCACGGCTTGGATGAAAGCAAATCAAGTGTATCCCACTGCCAAAGAGCTGACGTATGTTGAGTTTCCAAGCAAATTCAGGTGGAAGAAAAATACCATGGAATGGGTAGAAAGGAAGAGAGGATTTGCTATTGGACGCATTTATTATGTACGACCTGGAGCAGGGGAGAAGTACTACCTACGAATATTGTTGAATATTGTGAAGGGAGCAACCAGCTTTGAGGAGTTGAGGACTTATGAAGGGACCGTATATCCTACATTTAGAGACGCGTGCCACGCGCGTGGTTTACTTAAAGATGACAAGGAGTTTATTGATGGCATTACAGATGCGAGCTTCTGGTCTTCTTCACGGTCACTTCGCATTGTATTTGCTACTCTACTGGTTTCAAATGAGTTTTCGAAGCCAGGCTTAGTGTGGCAAAAGTGTTGGGAGTTTTTCTCTGATGACATACTATACAATATTCGCAAGAATACGGGTAATCCAGGTATATTATATTCTAAACCATCTTTTTTATTTTTAGTGAATTACTCGCTTATAAAAATTTATATATTTTAGTTCTACAATAATTACTTCTCGATGAAATACTTAATTGATTGTCTTACATACATAGCTAATGACATATTAAGTGAGATAAAAAAATGTACATGATAGTATATTAATATATATACGAAAAAGATCACATCAAGTAGTTTTGCAAGGAAGCCCGGTCCAAACTTGACTATCAGGTGTGATGCCGTTGGAAATTTTTAATGAAATTTTATGAGAACCTTCCTCATGAAGTGTAGATTATATCCACAAATTTTCACCTTGAAATTAAATCAGGAAATCAGTTGAATAAATCATGGAAAATGACTGCATTTTTCGTGTACATTCTGGCGCAGTTGCTTTTAAATTTGGTGGTAATAAACTATACTTGATGATGAGAATACTCACAAAATTTCATTAAAAACTATCACCGGGAACTACCTGTGATAGGAAAGTTCGAACGGGGTTTAACGTAACAACTACCTGAGGTAATCATTACTTATATATATGAAAAAGATCATCATAAAAAATATTTTTTGAATATACTAAATGTTAGTAGTTTATTACCTTATTAAAATTATTTATTACAAAATATTTATTTAGGTAATATGAACGATACCTTCTACTATGTTACCATGTACAGTAACGTAGTTTACTATGGGAGTACTTCTTACTATGTTATATATGCCTTTTGGATGCTTTTTCATAATAGTATAAAAAATATACGTAGAGTGAACTTATTAAATTTACTAAATTGACAGAAAAAATCTAAAAGGTTTAACAAATAAAGGTCTATCAATTAATACAAATAATAGCACTTTTACAATTACTTAATTTTTACTATACATTTTCACTTAAAAAATACAAAAAGCTATGCATCTTTTCATGTTGAGTGATGAATTTAATAAAATATACAACATTTAATTACTGAATTAGTAAACATGTTTTCTTTATGTGCATGTTAATTAAAGTTAGAAGTATTGCATGTGTAATTTGGTTGTGATGAAATGTATATATTGTGGAATATTTGATTTATTAGTTTAATCTTAACTAAGGTACTAAAATATTCAAATGCGCTACTGCAGATTTTGAACTGGATAAAGAGAAAATTGAAAAGTACTGTTTGTTGGAGATTCAGAAGCTCTTGCAGTCGAGAGGTAGATCATTACGTGATTTTGCTGGCATACCCTTGCTACCTGATGATGAAATGCCCTCGCTTGAAGAAGTTCTCATTCATGAAGAGCTGCGGTATAATAAATCGTATCTGATTGAGGAGCATGCAAAGTTGTTGGCCGAGATGACAGATGAACAACGTGTTGTGTATGATAGGATAATGGAATCTGTAGATAGTAGAAACGGGAAATTCTACTTTTTATATGGCCACGGAGGAACTGGGAAAACATATCTATGGAGGACTTTGTTTGCGGTTGTGAGATCTCGCGGTGATATAGTTCTTAACGTGGCTTCAAGTGGTATAGCATCGCTTCTCTTGCCTGGAGGAAGAACCGCACATTCGAGGTTTGCGATTCCACTTAGTGTTGTAGAAGACTCCACGTGCAACATAAAACATGGTAGTCCGTTGGCCAAGCTGATAGAGTTATCTAAGTTAATTATATGGGATGAAGCACCTATGACGCACCGACACTGTTTTGAAGCTCTTGATCGGAGTATGAGAGACGTGCTTCGTTACTCCAGCCACTGTGACACTACCTTGCCTTTTGGTGGGAAGACGATTGTATTTGGTGGTGATTTTAGGCAAATTCTTCCTGTGATACCAAAAGGCACGAGACAAGATATTGTGCACGCCGCACTGAACAGTTCATTCTTGTGGTCAAATTGTACTGTAGTGAGGCTTACTAAAAACATGAGGCTAGCAAGGATGCTCGGCCAGCCGGATGGACCAACTATCCAATCTTTTGCAGAGTGGATTTTGAAGATTGGTGACGGAGCTTTTGCTGAAAATCAAGACGGAGAATCACTAATTGAAATACCAGACGATATGATTGCTCCAATGACGTCTGATCCTGTTGAATCTATAGTTCAAGCTATTTATCCAGATTTCTTAACCCAGGGTGATCCGATTAATTATCTTTATTCCAGGGCTATTCTTGCTCCAACCATAGATGAGGTTGATAAGGTCAACGATTACATGTTGAGCCAGATAGATTCAGAGTTAAAGACATACCTAAGTTCAGATTCAGTTTCTTCATCTGACTCGGATAGTAATGATCTCTTGCATGAGATACATTCTCCTGAATTTCTTAATAGCATCAAATGTTCTGGCTTACCGAGTCATGAGCTCAAGCTGAAAGTTGGAGTTCCTGTGATGCTTATGAGGAATATCGATCATTCATCTGGATTGTGCAACGGCACACGACTTCTGGTCACTAAACTTGGAACTCATATTATTGAGGCTCAGATGATGCACGGAGAAAATGCCGGCGAAAAATTTCTTATTCCTCGCCTTACTTTGACACCATCGGACATTAGTCTCCCGTTCACTTTTCAGCGTAGGCAATTTCCGTTAATGGTTAGCTATGCAATGACCATCAACAAGAGCCAGGGACAATCATTGGAAAAGGTTGGCATCTTCCTCCGTCGTCCTATTTTTACGCATGGACAGTTGTACGTGGCTGTCTCGAGAGTAACAAGTCCGTCTGGGTTAAAGTTTGTTATATGTGACGAAGAAGGGAAACCAAAGAAGTCAGCGTTGAATGTAGTATACAAAGAAGTTTATACTAATTTGTAGTTCCCTTGCTTTACATGCATACATCCATACTCATTGCTAGCATATCACTTCATGATATGTACTTAACTTTTAGCATTATTTTTTAATGTCGTATTAAATATGAATACTTATTTTATTTTATTGTTTAATGTGATTAGTTTGTATTAGTTTTTTATTTTATGTTTTGAGTTAGGTTAATTGACTATGAAATTCTTTGAGTATATATTTGGTTGATCCAAACATCTCACTCCCGTGCCTAGCACAGGTGGAATTACTAGTCTGTTTCTTAAAACCCATCCCACCCCAAAATTGATGCACCTGTTTCTTAACTTATGACCCGTTCTGCAGCCTCCCTACGCAAGTAACGCAACTGCGAAGGCGCAGTGCTAAGCACTAAGAGTAGAAGAGGCCAGAGGGAGTCCAGTCAACACCAGCCGACCTGCGGCCGCCTGCTGTCCAGGTCCCTACGTCGTCCCTTCGGTTCCACCGCTCGAGCTTCCGGCCCTCCACTCTCCAGGTATACTCTAAGTCTCTATACCTTTTTAATGTATTATTTTGTGAGTTGTGAGTTGTGACTTTGTGTATTTTTAAAATTTTGTAATTGTATTTGATTATGAATTGTTTTTTTCAGTAGATAATAAAATAGTGTGTATTCATTATATATTTATTATGATTAAAGATAGAATTAAAGATTAGAGAATGATTTATTTATCATACAATTGAAGATTAGAGAATGATTTATTTATTGTATGGCATATAAGAAAGAATTTAAAATTTCAATTGAATTTTGAAGGATTATTAGCTTATTTTATCTCAAACGATCATCAAATTCATATATTTATCCCATGCTTTCACTTTTATAAAAAAACTCAAACTTCATCTTTTTCAACAATTATGTTTTTTTCTTTAAAATTACACATTTTTATCAATACCAATAAGATATAACAATACAAGTTTGTGAACTTTAAACTAGAAACAAGTGAAAAATATGAAATATTAATATGATTTTCTTCTTAAGTTTTACTAATTCATCCATTCAAAGTGTAATTGTGAGAAAAGTTAAAGTTTGAGTCTTTTTTAATAATAGTGAAAGTATGGATATATTTGTGAATTTGATGATAGTTGGGGATACATTTAGCTAATAATCAAATTTTGAAGTTGGGAATACTTATTAGCTTTATGTACAAGGATTGTTTTTTATTATTTGTTTTATAATTTTATAGAAGTATTTGAACGCATACCATTATTGAAAATGTTTTTTAGAATAGATAATGAACATATTGCCAAGAAAGGAAAATGATGTGAATGTAGTATGAAATTGAGCTCGTATAGTATGAAAATGAAGTGAATATAGTATGAAGTGAATATGAAGTCAAATTTAACACACGATAAACATGCTTAAACGTAGAAGTTTAGATTGCACTCGTAATAGATTCATGTTCCAATTATTCAATAAATACTCGAATCTTTAATAATCATTAATAGATTTATAAAATTGCACAAAACGTTTAAATTTTAAGATATACTCCGTATATAATTTATTCCTATAATTTATAAGGTGAATGATAGGCTCGTGTCCGTATTGAACCAAACATCACAATGTTCGAATTGGGCTTGAATAATTATTCAAACTGAAAATCTAGTATGTGTTTGAGTTCAAAGCTTGTTAAGCTCAGGTTATTAAATTAGAGGCGAAATCAAGCTTGAACTCGAGTGTATAATTCGAAAAAAGCTTGATTCGATAACAGTCCTGAGCTAAACCTTGTATGTATAATAATATTTTTTTTTACTTTTTAGCCCACCGCACATCTCAATCCTGGATCTGGATGCGATTATTAAGAAAAGTTAACTTACGTGGTTGATATTGAATTGATAAAGTAAGAAAAAGTAAGAATGATTTAGAACCATACAAACTTTACCAAACTTGATATGGGACAATCTTTATTCGAACGGACCGAAAAGGAAAGAGAGGACAATCTTAGCAGAACGGAGGGAGTAGCTTGTATTGGCTAATTTGGTTCCTCAAAATAGGAGGAAAAATGCATTCTAATGATAAGTCAGTAGTTTCAATATTTTTAAAAAAGTGCAAGCAGGTCCCTGATTGTAACTATTTGAGGGCTCAAACGTCAAACCAAAAAAGCTGCAGAATCCCTGAACTATAGTCTATGCCTAAAAGTAGTGTGATAAGAAAAATTAAATAGGATAAAATTGTCCAAATGCAAAAGTTGGTGGGCCCTGCAAATAGGGCCAAATACAAAACAAAGCTACCGTTTTAAATTTCCTAAATAGCACTGCATGGTTCCTGGTGAGTTAGAAGTCCGTCCAAGAGGCGAATCTACGCATCATTGATGCACACCCACTAGTCTGTCTTCTCTCCACACTTGGTTCATCCTTTTGAATTTTAAGGTACATCTTGTAGCCTTGAAATTCTTTTCTTGCGTCTATGGTTCTAAGTGGAGTGAGTAGAACAGAGCTGTTTGGCACCCACTTAAGTCCATAAGTACTTGTCCACTTTGGGTGAAATCTAAATGCTAAAGCTTCCTTCGTCCTGTTCTAGAGTAATTAATTTCCAAGTGTATTAATCACTCCCAATCTCATCCAGGAAAGTTTATGCTTTTCTATTGGCAGTTTGAGTTATTCAAAGTCTAACTTTTCATAGCAACCTTTTAGTTACTTCCTGGGACTTCAATATGTTCTGTTTGTGGGCGTGACGACATCTTCTAAGGCGTCCCTTATTATCTATTGGGCATCCACAACTCGTGGTGGCAACGCCTAGATTAAGTTTTTGCAGATCCGGCCAGAAATATTAGGTTTTAGAAGATAATTAGTTGAGTGAAACATATTAAGAGCATCTCTAATGCAATAATGTGCACGGTGCATACGCTGCATGAGAAATATAGACACAGAAAATTAAATTAGTGAAAAAACTCTCTTATTCTTTGCACGGTCTTCTATATTTTAGTTTATTTTTAGCAAATGTCAAACACAATGTCTACATCGAGACATTTCCCTTGATATTTGTAGAGAAACAGTTACCAAAAACTGTTAAGGCCATTCAAATAAGGAGAGACATATTATACGTTTTTGTGTGTGTGTGTTTATCTCTCTCATGCCACGTATGCATTGAAGTACTTAAGCAGTAGACACTTATCAAACACAAGCTGATAAGTATGAAATGCATGAGAAGAATGATCATGAACATGAGGATAATCACAAACTCTATCTTTCATTTTTTAGAGGAAAAACCTTCTCGTTGCAGCCCCATTCCCTTACAGCTTTCTCTTTAAAGATGGGATATGGTGGTTACACCGAGTGGGCTAAAAAACCTCTCCCATGATAAAAAACTAACTGTCCAGTACATTCACCCCCTTAAACCTGTTTCCCTTTCTTCACATCTAGCATCCCAATTCTTTCTCTTAACTCGGTAAATCTCTGTCTTCCAAGTGGCTTAGTTAGGATATCAGCTAGCTGCAGCTCGGTTCTTGTATACTCTAACCCAATAACCTCCTTTTCAACACATTCACGTATAAAGTGAAATCGGGTGTCTATGTGTTTACTCCTTTCATGATGCACTGGGTTTTTGGCCAATGCAATTGCTGATTTATTATCCACTTTTAGAACCGGCCTCTTCTTGATGTTCTCCTGCAAACTTTCAAGTAGTTTCATAAGCCAAGTACCCTGACATGCTCCCCCGGTGGCTGCTATGTACTCTGCCTCACAAGAGGAGAGTGCAACAATTCATTGTTTTTGAGATACCCAGGTGATTGGGTTCTCTCCCAAGAAGAATAGGATTCCAGTTGTGCTTTTTCTATCATCTATATCTCCAGCCATGTCACTATCACAATATCCAATCAACGCCTTATCTCCTTGGTTCTTTTTAAACACACATCCCAAATCAGTGGTACCTTGTATGTACCTGATGATTTGCTTCACTGCATTCAAGTGTGTAGTTGTAGGTGCCTCCATGTATCTACTGACTATCCCCACTGAGTATGCAAGATCAGGCCTAGTGTTCACTAGGTATCTTAAGCATCCAATAAGGCTTCTATACATTGTTTGATCCACTGGAATTCCCTCATCATATTTACTCAACTTACTTCTTGGCTCCATAGGTATACAACAAGGATTGCAATCCCTCATGCCAGCTTTGTCAATAATTCTTCTTGCATAATTTGATTGACTCAGCCTTGTCTCCCCATCACTCTGCTTGACCTCAATTCCCAAGTAGTAGCATAACAAACCTAGATCACTCATCTCAAAGTGTTTCATCATTTCTGATTTGAAATCCTGAATGAGCTCTGGACTTGATCCTGTGAGGATCAAATCATCAACATACACTCCCACAATTACAATTTTTGTTTCTGAAAACTTTGTGTATAGTGCATGTTCAAATACACATCTTCTGAACCCCATGGATTTTAGGCAGCTATCAAGCTTCTCATTCCAGGCCCTAGGAGCCTGTTTTAAACCATACAAAGCCTTATGTAATTTTAAGACTTTGTCTGGATTTGTTTTGTCAATGTACCCCTCTGGTTGCATTACATACATCTCCTCCTTCAGCTCCCCATTAAGGAAAGCTGTTTTTACATCCATGTGATGTACTGCCCATCCATTATGTGTTGACAAAGCCAAAATAGTTCTTATTGTCTCCATTCTAGCAACTGGGGCAAATACCTCTTGATAGTCTACTCCATATCTCTGAATATAACCTTTTGCTACTAGTCTGGCTTTGTACTTCACAATGTTTCCTTCTGGATCTTTTTTAACCTTGTACACCCACTTGAGTCCTATGACTTTGTGGTTTCTAGGTAGCTCTGCCAATTCCCAGGTCTCATTTCTCTGAATAGACTCAACTTCTTGAGTCATAGCTTGTCTCCATTCTTCTTTTTCTGCAGCTTCATAGTAATTCTCTGGTTCTTCTTGACATAAGAAACATAAGTTAATCTCCTCAGGTATCTCCCTTGTTGCATCATATATATCTTGAAGTGACCTGAAATGTTTTGGTGCATCACTTGAACTTGAGTTACTAACCTGAGGTGTGATATCAGATGAATGTTCAGTAGTCTCACCCCCTTCTTCTGTCAGGTTTGGTATAGGAGTTCTTCTTCTTGTTTCTTGTCTTTCCTTGGGCACACAGGCTGCAAAGATGTCCCCATCTTCTTCAACTTCCTGTCATTTTCAAGATTGCTCTTCCACTCCCATCCATTTCCTTCTTCAAACTTTACATCTCTACTCACAAATATTTTGTCTTTCACTGGATCCAGCAATCTATATCCTTTAGTTCCTTCTTCATATCCTAATAGGATCCCCTTTACACTTCTGTCCTCAAGTTTATGTAAATGTGGTTTCACTATCTTGATATGTGTTATGCATCCAAACACCCTGAAATGATGCACATTGGGTATTTTATCATACCATGCTTGATAGGGTGTTTTTCCATCCAGACTTTTGGTTGGAGCTCTATTCAGAATATAGACTGCTGTGGTGACTGCTTCCCCCCAATACTTTGAGGGCATC